TTCCCCCTCTGTCAATTATATGAGTCTCAGAAACTTTTTCAAGGTAAACATAAAGTCTCTGTGAAAAGATACGTGTTCTATAGCATGATAGAGATTCCCACCAGTCTTGCTCTTCGGTCTCATTTCCAGCTCATTCTATAAATGGACAGTTTCCTCCCTATCTACTCCTGCTCCATTCTCTGCATTCCATGAGCTTGGATCTCCTCTTTGGAACTAAGAAAATTCCATTGTCTCATATTTGTGAAAGAGCAACACAGGCCCATTTCTACTCCCCCTACAGAGAGGAGTAGGGTAGTGGTGGGGATGGGGTCACTGAGATTACCACACACATCAGTCCTAAGACCACCATGTCCACACCCCAAGATTATCAGAGTGAGATGAATTTATATATACTAATAAGAAAACATGGAGTCCTGGTGGTGCCGTGGTTAAGAGCTCAGCTGCTAACCAAAAGGTCAGCAGTTCAAATCTACCAGCTGCTCCTTGGAAACCCTATGGGGCAGTTCTACTCTGTCCTATAGGGTCCTTATGAGTTGGAATCAACTCGACAGTAACAGGTTTGGTTTTTTTTTAATAAGGAAATACGGGAGAAAGATGTGGCAGTCTGCTTCCATAAAGATTTAGTTGTATAGGGTTGCTATGAGTTGGAATCCATTTGATGGCAATGGGTTTGGTTTAATAATATATCTCCAAACAATTATTGAAGAAAAGGTAAACTGCAGAATATGTTTTATGCTAAAAGCACACATACATATCCCTTTAATCTTCGCATTTTATACTGTATTACCTTTTCAGAAAGCAAGTGAGCAAGTAATCGGGCAAGAAATGCTATTTCCTGGGTGAACCCACATCTGAAAGTGGGGTGAACAAAAGAACACAGCGAGACTGAAAGGAGGAAAAAGATAGACAGGACAAAGATTTTCGGGACATTGCCAAAGAGAGAGAAATTTTGGGGAGAAAAGAGATATTAAAAGAGGACTTTTAAGGAAGTTTTACTGTTTGGTATGAATGTAACCCCCTTCTCTGTGCCCTCAAGAAAACTTAAGTAAAAATTTGCAGTGTTCTTCAAAGCTTTTGGAGTAAGATTTATGTTCACTTTGGACACCATAACAAGCTGAGACTGGCCCGAGGCAAGAAAAAGACCGAAGAGGAATACTCACAATAGACCCGACCGTGCCAGAATGAGTAGTATGACAGTAGTCTTATTTTTACAAGACAGCTAAATACAAATGTTCATTATTATATTATTATTATTTTTTAAATTCAAACCCTGGATCTTCACTTAGCTCTAGGCTGCCCTTTTCCTGTGCCCTGGTGTTACTTGACTTTTATTTTTCCAGTATTTTCTACTTAGCTAGGTGTCTCAGTAAATCCTGCTCCCTCCTCTACTCCCACCTTGAGGTAACATGTCAGTGTATTTCCTGTAGGTCAAGAGAGTTAAGAAGTCAAGAACACATACATGTATTTATTTATATATAATTTTGAACCTTGCTCTTATAAATAAATACATTGAGTTAATTCATTTTGGACTTCCAAGCCTGTCTCAGCCTATTAGTGACTCCACATATACGTTTAGCACGTTAGAGTCCACAAAGTACTTTTGTTTTTCCTCTTAACACCCAAAATAACTCTCTGAGGTAAGCAGAGTTCCTTTTTCTTTCCACTGGCGTTCCTTACTGCTTTCTCTTATAACATGGCAAATTACCCCTTCCTGGGGAGTTGCTATCTATGCTGAGTGGAAGGATTATTTTTATCACTTTCCGTCACTCAACTCCCTCTTCCTCACTATGTTAACTCTAGATGATACGAATATCTGGAGGGGGAAAAAAAAATAAACAGAAAAAAAGCCTCCATTATAAGACGGCATTATCTGTAAAATGGGACTGTTTTTATCATGAACAAGAGTCTGAAATATTATTTTTATAATCAGATTACATTTTTTGTTTGTTTTTTTCAGATTACATTTAAAAACAAATGACTGGATTTAGGGTAGACTGAATACGTTGTCCACTGAAAAGCTGCTTGTGGAGGGACAGCAGCCTGTGGGTACGTTTCTGCTATCAGGAAAGCGCATTTGCACTAGCTTTCTAATTTGTCTTCATCCTCTTTCCTCCCTCAAATCCATCTGTCATGATGTCATTAGCATGATATTTATAAAACACAGACTTGATTAAAAAATACTGCCCTCATTATAAGCCTTTGCTGGATCACCATTACCTACAAAATAAAGTCTGAATTTCTTCTCCTGATGCACTGATCTTTTAAAATATTGTCCATTCTACCTTTCCAAGTCCATCTGTACCCTCTGTACCAACAGCTCTATGTTCTAGTTATACAAAGTAATAAACAGCCCTTGAACTTCCAAATGCTACCTTTCCTTGGTGTCTTTTCTCTCTCTTTGCCCTCTGACAAAGAATGCCTAGTGGTCACCTCTTCACTTGTTGAACTCCTATTCATCCATCAGTATCCAACTCAAATGCCCCTCCTTGTTGGAGATTTTGCCAGGTGAGATTAATCATTTCCTCCCCTCTGTACCGAGCCCTTGGCTCAGATCAATATAGAATTTATCTTTCACAGCCCATGAAATCTTTGAAGGGCGACACCACATTGTATTCATGTTTGTAACATCAGTACTTAACATGGAGTCTATTAGACATTCAATGTTAGTTTTATCAATGAATGAATCACTTATTCATAAAATGACCACTCTCTATTACTACAAGAAATAACTGCTCTCATCACTTTTACAAAAGCCCTTGAAAGTGTACTGCTAACTCTTAGTCACAGAAGGGACCCAGAGGGGTCGTTAGTGTAATCTCTTCCGGATACTCCTTTTCCAGGGTGGCTCAATTCTCTCAGAAAATTGTTCCAACCTACCCACCTCCTAGTAACGCTTAGTATTTGATATCAGATAATAATTATTAAGTTTCCCATCAGCTTTCTTCCTGTAGGAAAATCTTAATTTGTTTTATCTTTCTTTTCTCAATTCTCTTTCAATCCTCCTAGGAATTGATCAACATTATGATCATAAATGGGCAATCCCATTTGGGACAAATTCAGGGATTTTTTTTTTTTTTTATTTCCATATCCTGGGAGACCTAGAGGCAGATTAACCAGTAAGCAAGGAACGGACCAGCTTATGAAAGGGGCTGTGTGGAAATTTCACATTTATTGTTTATTGCCAACAGTATAGGCCTAGCTTCCTGGGTATTGGTTAATGCCTAGCTTGCATAGTTCACTTTTGCATGCTCCCATGATTTTGATTTATCTTCCTCCTTTCCTCCCTCTTGCTTTCCCAAGATTTTAAAGTTTAAGTTTAACCTAAGTTTCTCTTTGAGAGGCAGAACGACAAGTGCTGAACAAGGAAAAATCATCTTGTAGTTGAAACCAGTACGGCATCAGAAGGCCAACATGCCTGGAACAAGGCCATTGTGCCCACCTCAAAGGGGAGCTAACATTCCACCGATTCTGCAGACCCTGGCCCTGTCCCAATAAAATCCTCTGATTGGCCTCCAGAAAGGGAGGCAGATTTTGGAGGAGCTCATTCCCCTCTGTCTCCTGTATATCGATATACAATAAAACACTCTTGCTGCTCACCTCACCCCTGTCTCAGTATTGGCTTCTGCGGCAGGCGGCTCAGACCCGCCATTGCAGTAACACTTACATTAAGCAAGGCATACATATCTTGGATGGTGAAAAACACGTGAAATTGTTCAATACAGATTAGTAAATACACACAAGTCAGTCCGTGTGTACCTTGCTTATTGGGTAATTCAACCCTGGCCTACCTACACAGAAAATGATTAATAAAGGTGTGTTGAAGAGATAAGCGAGTGAAAGATTTGGGTAAAAAGATTCTGATCATAAGGATGGCTAATCATATGGCTGATAAATTAAAACATTAACTCTAAAATTCAGATTAAGATTGTAATTGATTTGTAACATTAATTCATCACAAAAGTTTAAGGAATTCTTGATACATTTTGCAAACCTTATTGGCTTTTAAGTTGTTGTGAGTTTAATTTCACCATCAAGGAAGAAAAAAAGGTAAGTTTCATGCTGGAAGCATTTGTCTTAGTGAGGCTAGGCCAGTGCCGTCAGTGATAACTAGGGATTGCCCCATTCTCCCACCAGTCTGCCAGTTAGTAGTCTTGTGGTGGCCTGTGTGTTGCTATGATACCGGAAGCTATGCCATCAGTATTTCAAATACTAGCAGGGTCACCCATGGTGGACAGGTTTCAGTGGAGCTTCCAGACTATGACAGAGTTGGAAGAAAGGCCTATCAATCTACTTCTGAAAATTAGCCAATGAAAACCCTGTGGATCGCAGCAGAATATGTTTGATATAGTGCTGCATGATGAGCCCCCTCAGTTGGAAGACACACAAAATACATGGTGGCTGCAACACGCAACAATGGATGAAAACATACTAACAATCGTGAAGATGGTGTAGGACTGGGCAACGTTTTGTTCTGTGGCACATGGGGTCACCATGAGTCAGAGGTGACTCAAAGGCAACTAACAACAACTCCATTCTCACCGTTGTCTTATATGCATCTGAATTAACAGCATAATATCTCCTCACACACCCTCCCAAGGGAAAGCAAATAAAGAAAGTGACAAAGCGCCCACAGCTTTAATTCTAAAGGCAAACTCTACTGTTTCCCTGCCCGCTTTCCCAGTAGCTGTCTTTCTATTGCTGAGTGGGTCACAGAATGACTGCTGCCTCAGAGGCAGGAGAAGGAGCACCCAGTCCTTCCTCCCAGGCTCCCCTCCACCCTTGCTGTTCTAACAGAGGTGCCCCCCACCATAATCATTTCACATCTCATGCAGAACAAGAGGTGGTCTGAATATCATCTATATATGCTTTCCTCATGGAGACTCACACCAAATTTTAAACATTTGTAGATAGAGGTATCAGGAACTTAAAAACTCAGGTGACTGAATCAAAAAAGATTTCAAATAATAATAAATGTAAAACAACAGTATTAAAGTGCATACCGCAGTACCCTGGGGTTCCACATACTGTCTTCATGAGCACTTGATGTTCCACAATTTTAGAGAGTCCAAAATCAGCTAACAACAGAAGAAAAAAGTTTAATGAAACAACTCTTTTCTCAGCTTTTGTAAGAAGACTGAATACTTTTGTTATTTAAGATAAACCTGATTTGTTCGTTTTTGTATCTGATGGTGGAGTGATGCGGGCGGGAATGATTCACCTGTAGAGGAAGCTAAAAAAAAAATCAAATCCTGCTTTAAATTGGAGGAAAAACGACTCCCAAATACATTTTATGCTTTCTTCTCCATAATTCTCAGCTTTTAGTCATTAAGCTATTTTTTTCTTGAAGTAATAATTATGATAGTTACATTTTATCTAACTTCATTAACGTTCAGATTTGTGGCATAATATAGAATTACTGGTATGATTCAGAACCTTAAATCCATTGAGAAAAATCAAAATAAAAAACTAGACTTTCACAAATGTCAAGGAAATAAACAGAAATACCAAAAGGCTTATTCTGCTCGTAAAGAAATAATGTCATCCCCTAGTGTATTTGACGGATAAGAATTTACTCTCATATGAAGAACAGAAAATATTTTTCTTGTGAAACATCCTTTTTATTTATTTATTCCTCAGAATATTACCTAGGTAAAATATTACCAAAAGTTGCTACCATTATGAGCTCTTTGCTGCGTTACATCTCTCTTACTCAGGAAACATCAGGAAACTCTTCCAGGCCATTCTTCAAGAGAGGCAGGTGCAGAATTGATGCCATTTTAGACTTCAAACGTAAACCCATCTTTCCACTGAGGTGCCTGATCCCTATCAGCAAAAGCATCAGAAAGCTCTTCAGAAAGAAAAGCTCTCCTGCCTAAATTAGTATCTATCCATCCATTTAAAGATATTTCCTTAAGCATAAAATCTTTGAAAGTGATGTCAGAGGAAATGGGAGCCTCCCTGCTGTCCAGCGCCTTTCAGGAGTGATTATGAGAACATGCTGCTGCCAGCAGGCCTTTCAGGATTTTTTTCTTTAGGTTCTTACGTTCATAAAGCACATTACGTTGTCTGAGCTCTTCCATGATATGTACAACTTAATCTTCAAAGGTGTTAACATTGTAAACGCAGTGAGCGCATCAGAGGAACACTAAAAAGGATGGCACCAGGGAAGCAGTGCCCTTTGGAGAATTTAATACAGATTCTAATAAGGAGAATTCATCTGAAATAAAGTTTTTCTGCTTTGGTAAATGAAGATTTTCTTTAGGAGGGACATGGAGAGTCACATTTAATGTAATTCTCCTAAAATGCTGATATAAGATCTCTGTGGGTAGATTAGAATTTCCGAAGTTCATCTTTAGAGCAGCATTTCTTCAAAATGCTTACTGGAGGGTGTATGTGTATGTGTGTGTGCAGGAGGTGGAGGGTTCAGGGTCAAACAAAGTTTGAGGAAAAACTCATACTGCACTATCTAACACATCACCTTACACATTAGCATTTATAAGGTTCTAGGAAGTCATACAGAAATAAAATTCTTGTTTATTTAAGTTGGCATTTCCTAAACTTATGTGACCAACCATGGCACCTTTGCAAACCACACCAACCTCCTGCAAAAGAAAAACTTACTCACTCTGCTGAGGAACCAGTTTTCTGTGGGGTGCACTTTGGGAAATACAGATCTCAGTTTATCACTGTTCACATAAGCAAATGAACCAGAGCCTAGATTCACCAATATGTACCGAGGAATTCTATGTCAAAGTTCTTGATTATTTAAAATTAAGCTCCAGCTAATTGGTGGAATAAAAGTTAATAACCAAAAAAGTAAGTTTGTTATCTGTGATCTTACTCTGTATAAACTGATGTACAAAGTACAAAGCACTTTCTAAGGGCTGTGATTCTTTCCTGTGCACAGCAATTAGCATCAACTTCTAGACACTACTTTCCAAGTTAGTATTCCAGGACAGAGAGCACAAACTCCCCAAACCATGCATTATTCCTTTACTAATGCCAATTATTCAAGAAAATTGAGTGGAAATGAAACTGGATGAAGCAATATTTTAAGATGCCAAAGAATAAATTTCTCCTCTGGGAAAGTGGTCATAGGAAATTTTCTCACCAATTTTGAGTGGTGCATCTGGGGCTGGAGTTGCATAGAGAAGATTCTCTGGTTTAAGATCACGATGGACAATCCCATTTTCATGTAGGTACTAAACAGAGAAAATAAGAAAGTAACATCTGTGTAATTATATTTATGGTTCCAACACCTATATTTAATCTTTTCATGACTACAACGATCTTCACTAAGTACACATGAGTTAACTCACACATATCATGATTTAAAAACAAACATCAAAAAGGAAAATATATTTTAAACTAAACATCTTTAACGGATAGCTTATAAATAAAAAACCTATTGCTACAGAGTCGATTACAACTCATTCTGATCCTATAGGATAGAGTAGAACTGCTTCATAGGGTTTCCAAGGAGCAGCCAGTGGATTTGAACTGCCAACCTGTTGGTTAGCAGCCAAACTCTTAACCACTGTGCCACCAGGGCTCCATTAATAGTTACCTAAAAGTGAAATGAAATTTAAATTGTATAGAACCAATTCCCAGAAATGAGATACTCACCCTTAAAAGAATATTAATTGCAATTCTCCTTACGCATATTACTATACCTGCTGGAATTGGCTAATTATTATTATAACAAAGTCAAGGCACTGTGTATTTAAATTTGTTTGGATTATTATCTGAGAAGCATGCGTAATCTTAGAAACTCACAACCTTAGGCAAAGACTTCACAATTCCCGTTTGAACAGACATTAAAATGTGAGTAGTTATTATTGAGACAATATTCTTAATATGACAAATATTGTTGGATGACGATGAATGCTTCAGTCTCATAGGCTCTTCTGAGAATTAATAAATTCAATTATCAATATAGATATAAAGGGTTATATTTGGGATGAATCTTAAGGATCATCTCTAACTACCCCACTCATTTTAAGGTACTTTAAATTATTTTGTAAAATTTCATTTAATCACATATATAACATATTTTCTTATAAATAATAAAGTCCTACTTTACCTCTTACCCCAGTCCCAGACCTCTCTCCAAATGCACTCACCAGTTTGAAATGATTGAACTTTTTTTCTATGCATTTACAAACATGAAAATACGTATATCTCTGGTTCTCTCCATTTTCTTACATAAATGTACCATAAATACGAAATTTTTTTACACTGCTAATTTTTTTTCACTTAGCAATATGTCTTTGTAGCCTTTCCACATATGACTTTGGCTTATTTCTATTCAACTCTTGCATTCATTTTGATGGATGCATCATAATTTATTTTGCTATTTTCTTTCTGATGTATTTTCAACATTGTTTCAATTTTTAAAAATTACAAATAATGCAGTAATAACATTGTTGTGAGGGCAGTGTTAGTTTAGTGGTAAAATTCTCGACTTCTAGGTGGGAGACCCAGGTTTGATTCCCAGCCAGTGAACCTCTCAAGCTCAGCCACCACTTGTCTATAGGTGGAGACTTTTATGTTGCTGTGATGTTAAACAGGCTGCAGCACAGTTTCCAGACTAAGACAGACTAGGAATTGAGGCCTGGTGATCTACTCCCAAAAACCAGCCAATGAAAATCCTATGGATCCCAAAGGTCCAATCCCATTGTACATAGGGTCACCATGGGTCTGAGGTTGGTTCATTGACATCTAACAACAAAAAGCATCGTTACATTTGCATGGTTGAGCATTTTTGCTGGTATTTTAATAGGACAGGTTCTTGGAAGTAGATCTGGCAAGGCATATTTTAATATATACTGCAAAATCTTCTAAAAGCCTCAATCAATTTTCACTCAAACCAACAGTGTATGTGTATATGTTTTTCCAATATTTTACCAAAACTGTACTTTCAACTTTTGTTGAGCTAGTGTGTAAAGACTGTATCTTAAGTTTGGTTTAATTTGTCTTTCCTTATTTACTAGTCTGTCCTATAGGGTTGCTATGAGTTGGAATTGACTCGACGGCAACGGGTTTTTTTTTTTTTTGCTGCTGTTGTGCGTTTGTTTACTAGTATAGCTGAATTTCTCTTCCTATGCTTATTTGTTTATCATTTCTCCTTTACTGTGAACTGCCAATTCATATCCTTTGCCCATTTTTCTGTCAAGAAAAAAGGTTGTCAGTGTGCTGTAGTCCTTCTTTCCTTCTACCTCATGGGGGAGGTAAGGGATTCCTTCCTTCTTTCTACTCAAGTCAACTGATGGGGGGGCAAGTGGCTTTGAGATCACAATTTATAGAGTGTGACAGTTTGGGGACACAGGGACTGATATCTGGATCACTCGTGAAAAATCAAAACATGAGAGGCTGGTTGGAGCATGCTAAACGAGGAGAGAGGGCCTCATTGGGATTCGGCCGTCCTTAAAGCACAGCTGGATAAAGGTGCACATTTCTCAGGGGCCCAATGTGGACTCTACAGAAGGGAACAAGACACAAGTCTCCTCGAAGAGTGGCTTCCTTGAGGAGTGATTTCCTGTGAGGGTGATGCCACCTCAGCATGATGGAGGCAGAAAGTGAGGATGGTCAGGTAGGCAGCTGAGGAGCCATCGACTTCTCAGAGGACCTGGGATGAGAGAACTACCCTGTGGTGGAATGGTTTCTGTAGAAACCGTAAATGTGATCCATGAGGGAAATAACGACAAGCATTTGAAGGCAGCCACACCCAGAGAGCACTAATACCAGATTACAACTGTACCAGTCAGCTAAGACCTGTCTTAACCCTCCATCTCCCCCCCTCCTCCCCACCATCATCCTTACAACTCAGCCCTGGAAGGATCACAAATAGCATCTAGCTGGTTGAAAAAGAGCATGAAAGAGAGAAGAAACTAACAAGTATCTCCCACTCCATAAACTATAAACTATAGACTTTTAAAGTCCGGGTTGGAGGAGGGGAGACATTTAAAATTGGATTTGAGTCTAACATTTTGGTCTTTTTCTTATCTGAGAATGGCTGGAAAAGCTGTGGGAATCGCCTGAAATTTTATGCCCGGAGAAGTATAAGATGACACATGCAATTTTATCTGCAGACTACTGAAGATAGGAAACCAATACATTTCTAAGGATTTTATGACAATAAATTTAATGTTCCAGTGCCAAGGACATATCTTTGCTGAATTCTGGTTTAATATTATTCCCTTGGTTTTTAATCAAAGGTCAACAAGTAAGTATATTAAGGTTTTAGGATATTGTTTTTTTAAAAACAGTTATTAAAGAACAACTTCATGAGAGACACTTTGGGACAATATATCCCAAGTATACCATTTGTTAGCTAAGTGATCTAAATCTCAGTTTTCTCATCTGTGATGCTCACTTTGCTGGTTGTAGTGAGAATTAGAGATGAGGCAAGTAAGCACTTAATACATTAGGGGCATGTTGCAGATATTCTACTCCATGATTACTCTATCATTGTTGTTTCACATCTCTTGGAAAATAAATTACACTTTAAAATCCTTTGAGCTTTGAAAAATTTCCTCTTTCCTGAAGCAATAATATATTTGATCAGAAATACTTGCTTTTTAACTCGTAGTATTTCCCTCTTTTGTACTGGCTGCCAAAAAAGCTCAGCGAAAATGAGGTTTCAATTACAATAACTAACCTATTTTGGGTATATTTACTTCTTCTTTCCTCTGTCTGCTTTTTTGTTTCCTTTTCTACTTTAATAGCTTTATTTTATATGCATCTTTTATTTAATTTGCCACAAAGTCTCTTTATGAGAAAATGTAATATAAATTATAGAGAGATTATGCTATTAGTCTTTACTTTTTTATCCTTGAAATAGTTCTAAGTGGAACATCTACTGAATTGCTATGTATGTGTTATAGTTTACAAGTAAGAATGTTTAGAAGTTAGAAAAGGAAGAAAGTCTGCGGCATTTTGGATTTGAAACATTCTTACCATAGGTTTGTCAAATGTGAAACAAAGAATTAGCATTGATAAATAGTGTCTACCACAGATGGGAGTCCCTGGTGGTGCGAACAGTGCAAACAGTTAACACGCCTGGCTGCTATCTGAAAGGTTGGAGGTTTGAGTCCATCCAGAGGTGCCTTGGAAGAAAGGCCTGGTGATCTACTTCTGAATAATCAGCCATTGAAAACCCTATAGAGCACAATTCTACTCTGATGCACAAAGGTTCACCATGAGTTGGAATGAATTCAACAGTAACTGGTATTTTATCACTGATAAATAGATACATTTCCAAACCTGTTATTTTGTTTATGCTTCGCTCTCCCCAGATCTTCTGTACTTTGTACTTCAAGGTTTATCCCCCAGTGCTGCTTTGGACCCTATCCAATGCCCTTATGTCTTCTCAGAGGCATGGCTGCATCACTCCTGCCTTCTCTTCCCTCTATTCCATCTTTCTTCCCTTTCATCATATAAATATGCCCTAGACTAGGTGCTACCATCATCAAAAAGAAAAACAAAAACCAAGAAAAAATAAACCACCACCACCTCCATCCTGTATCACACCCAGGTATTCTCATCCTGCACTAGAAACCATCAGCATCATTCCATAGCTTTCAGCATGAAAGACAACTATGATGTCTTATTTGATGTTGTATCTTGTGAGGATGGCTCACAAATTTCCCAAGGGCCAGGCAGATACGCTAAAAGGATGAATTCTTTTCCATTCTAGTCAGCAAACCTTGAAAATGTAGATTTCCCTCATTGTCTGTGTTCTCTCCCCTCTCTCATTCCTTCTTCAACACCCTATAGTCTTATTTCTGTACTCACCAAACCCAGTACACACTTTCTGACCTCATTTTACTTGGTCACTTTGGCATCTGGCCACCTTGACTAGTCCCTTGAGACTCGGCTGCTAACTGAAAGGTTGGAGGTTTGAGTCCACTCAGAGGCACCTCAGAAGAAAGGCCTAGTGATCTACTTCCAAAGGTTACAGCCGTTGAAAACCCTATCAAGCACAGTTCTACTCCGACACACATGGGGTCCCATGAGTTGGAATCGACTTGACGGCAACTGTTTTTTTTCTTTTTTTTCCTTAATTACTCTCATAACCAGCTTAACTGCCAGCCTCCCAATCTCCAGTCTTGCTCCCCTCCAGTCCACTTCACTTCCATGAGAATAGCTTTTTAAAAGTGCACATCTAGTCACATGACTCCCCTGCTTAAAATCATCACCA